TATGGGAGGCGACGTCAACAAACGACGAAGTGTTCTGAAAGCGTCGTCGCACTGTGATGACCACGAATGGAGAGGCCCGTTACTTCCGAGAAGCTTCGTCAGCGGCGATATGATAGTCGCGAAGTTTCGAATGAAGCGCCGAAAGTAGGAACACAGTCCTACGAAACTGCGCAGTTCCTTCACGGATGTCGGCTTGGGGAACTCGGTCACGGCCCGAAGCTTGGTTGGATCAGGGAGAATTCCGTCCTTGGACACGACGTAGCCGAGTATTGTCAGCTGCCGAGCTGCAAATTGGCACTTCTTTAGGTTCAGTTGCAGACTGGCGTTTCTCAGACGCGTTAAAACATGCCGAAGGCGTTGAAGGTGCGTCGAGAAGTCAGGAGCGAAAACGACGACGTCATCGAGGTAGCACAGGCACGTGTGCCATTTCAGGTCACGAAGAACTGTATCCATCATGCGCTCAAAGGTGGCGGGCGCATTGCACAGCCCAAACGGCATAACGTTAAACTCGTACAAGCCGTCAGGGGTGACAAAAGCGGTCTTTGGTCGAGCGTCCTCAGCCATAGGTACTTGCCAGTACCCTGAGCGCAAATCGAGGGATGAAAAGAATTCTGCTCCTTGCAGGCTGTCAATCGCGTCATCTACCCGCGGTAGTGGATACACGTCCTTACGAGTGATCTTGTTGAGGCGTCGGTAGTCCACACAGAACCGCACAGAACCGTCCTTCTTCGTAACGAGAACGACAGGAGGTGCCCAGGGGCTGCTAGAGGGGCGAATAACATCGCGGCGAAGCATGTCGTCGACTTGCTCGTTGATTACACGGCGTTCTGTGGGAGATACGCGATATGGACGTTGCCGCAGCGGTGGCTGTGCGCCTGTGTCGATGCGATGCGTAACGGTGGATGTGCGGCCGAGAGAAGGTTGAGCGACATCGAAAGAAGAGCGGAATTCGTCCAACAGGCCCAAAAGCTGGGAACGCTGGCCCTGCGTAAGGTCGTCGGGTATGCAGGGACCGAATATATCATCGGATGATGAAGCAGATGTCGAAACAGCACCAAGCGTACAGGAACTTGGGCAGTGCATGTCATCGGGTTCATCCATAACTTGCGCGTCTTCGATGGGTTCCACGCTGCCGAGACATTCTCTTCGCACCAACGTAACGCTGTACGGAGATGAGTTCACAACAAAAATAGTGGTGCTGCCGTGAGCGACTTGCACGGTCGCGAAAGGAACCAGCAAGCTTTTTCTTATGAAAACTCGACGAGATGGCGAGAGGAGTGCAGCGGTGTCAGAAAGGCTTGCACAGTAGAGCGACACCGCAACAGACGAGTTTGCAGGCACTTGAGTGTCGTCTCTGACAAGTAACTTGCTTGCAGCGGATGGACTGTCGGCCGGCGTCAAAGAAGAGAATGGCGCGAGTTCTATTTCTGCTGGTGCGCAATGAATGACGGCGTCGTGGCGGGAGAGAAAATCCCATCCTAGGATGACGTCGTGAGAGCATGAAGAAATTATGATGAATTCGACCGCATACATCACGTCCTGAATCATAAGGCGGGCTGTGCACATCGCTGTAGGGTGAATGCTTTGGGCACTGGCTGTACGGAGGGAGAGCCCGCAAAGCGGCGTGGTCACTTTGCGCAGTAACCGGCAAAGTTTTTCGTCCATCACGGATACGGCGGCTCCAGTATCTACAAGGGCAGATGCACGAACGCCATCCACAAGCACGTCTATCACGTTCGACGGGCTTTCCTGAGGGCTTCCGCAGTTCAACAGCGTCGCAGCCCTTGCCTCGTGGACTGCGACGACTAGTTTTCCTGGTCACCCTCGAGTGGACGTGGCCGCATCGGTGACAGTGAGCGACGTCGTGGAGATGGTGAACGGCGGGTAGACGGAACGGGGCGGGACGACGGTGACATAGGCGGCGGTTGGTCATAAGAGCGGCTTGACTGGCTGGGAAAGTTGGAGGCGACCTGCGGTTGCTGCACACGATTGCAATATCGTGCCACATGACCGACGCAACCGCAAGCAAAGCAGATGGGGCGATTATCAGCAGTGCGCCATTGGTTTGCTGGTCGCATCCATGTCGCAGAACGCGATTGGCGAGCCGGCTGCTGATATGAGTGCATGGTAGGCGGCACTCGGGGCACGTGGGTGACGCCGGCGTATGTAGGCGAGACAGGTTCTCCAAAGGCCTGGGGCCTCGCGACGGTTTCGGTGTAATTTAGCGGAACAGTGACAGAAATCGGTGAGGGCGGCCTGGCAACAACTTGGGCGTAGCTGAGTGGCACAGATGCAGGAGGTGGCTGGTGGTATTCAGGGACGACCTCCGCGATTTCCTGCTGAATGGCTCGGCGGAGCGGAGGTGGAAGTGTACTTGATGGCTGTTGAGCTTGGTGTGGGGAAGCAAAAGCCAGTAGAGAGACCTGGCGGGCAACTTCCTCACGCACGAACGACTTGATTTCGGCGAGCAAGGTTGCGTGGTCTGGAACTGCTGACAAGGCCGAGAGATCAGCATCACGTGGTGGCGGTCGACGGGTCATCAAGCGCTGCCGCCGCAGCTCGTCGTAACTTTGGCATAACATGATGACTTCTGCCACAGTGCGGGGGTTCTTTGCCAGGAGCATGGTGAAGGCATCGTCGGCGATGCCTTTTAGAACATGCGTGATTTTGTCAGCCTCTGACATGTTCAGGTCGACCTTCTTGCACAAGTCAAGGATGTCCTCGATATAACTTGTGAAGGACTCACCGGTCTGCTGGGCTCGTTCACGTAAACGCTGTTCAGCTTGCAGCTTACGAACGGCAGGGCGGCCGAACACGTCGACGACAGCGGTTTTAAAAGCGGACCAAGTCGGGAAATCAGATGCGTGGTTATTGTACCACATTCCGGCCACACCCGCAAGGTAGAAGAACAGGTTGCCGAGTTTAGCTGCTTCATCCCAATGATTGGGGACGCTCACACGTTCGTACATGGCAAGCCAGTCCTCGACGTCAGTGCCATCCGCGCCGGTGAAGACAGGAGGGTCGCGGATGCGGGGGACACCGGGACATGGCGTCGGTGTAGGAGGAAGCGTTTGCTGGGCGGCGTCTTGGTACATGGTTGGAGGCACGGTACGGGATCGAAGCTCCAAGGGCATCGAATGCTGACCGAAGGTGTTTGAAGGGCACAGCACTCTCCACCAAATTGTTAAGCGGTTTATTGACGGACACTCAGCGATGTTTCACGACAGCGACAGTCAATGCGGGGATCGACTCTCTGCACGAGCTGCTCTTCTTCTTAAGAAAAGGGCGACCCACTAAAAGGCGCTGAAGAGGATGACCCACTGTTCAAAGGCTTTACCACAATATATATATATATATATATATATATATATATATATATATATATATATATATATATATATATATATGTATATATTCTGACGACGGCCGGTCCCACGGCCGAAACGTAAAGAAACCTTTCTGTTTTTCTACGTCTGTCTTATTTTTATTCATATATATATATATATATATATATATATATATATATATATATATATATATATATATATATATATATATATATATATATATATATATATAACTCAACCCCTGATGAAGGGAGGACCCCTTCCGAAACTGTTGGGAAATATATATATTTATCCTTGTTGACAACGCTCCCGTTGTGCCATATCCCATACCTTCATATATGTATATATATATATCAATGTTCTGTTGCAATTATGCTTAGTTTATAATTTTGATTATTGCTTATGTTGCCCCTAACAGTGTTTTACCTCAATTTGCCCTTAACAGGAGGTCCCGATACAGTCTTTGACTTTGGGACCTCCTTTTGTATACTAAACACATCTCACATTCTTGTATTCGTACCAATAAAAAATCTGAAAATCTGAAAAATCTAGCCGATGAGCAGTACTCACGTCGAGCGTGTGGGGTCTCGAAGTGGAGAGCGCCATGCTCTTGGAGTGAATGGACACAGTAGACAGGGTCGGAACAAACCAAACAACACTCATTTATTTAACTACTTTTAGAACGGCAATATTGTCAGACAAATTAATACACATCAATTGTCGTCAACACACTAAAGTAACCTTACACACGAAGACACGGCGGCATCGCCAACGCTTGAGTCGTCACAACGGCCCACCGAAAGAGACAACCGTTCGCGCCAACTGCCACGCGCCGAAGCGGACCAAGACGTACCGAGCCAAATACGAAGGCACACACACGGTATGTAATGCGTGTGGAGAGGAGGAGGAAACGGCTGAACATTTGATAACGTTCAGAAAAGGGCTCCGCCCTATAGTCCAAGATAATGGCGCAGAATTTTTCAAAGCATTGTGGTTTAGGGAAAGTGAAGGCAAAATAAACATTAAACGGGTAGAAATAACCAGGGGGAGGCTAACTAATTGGTGGATACAATCAAGGCGTGAGTTAAATTCAATATTTTAACACGTAGTGATAGTATTTAATTTTATGGCTAGGTGGCGTGAGCCACCAGCCGATCTAAAGGGCACATCCGGTTACATCTATCCATCCATATATCCATACATCCGTCCGTCCGTCCGTCCGTCCGTCCGTCCATCTATCCATCCATCCATCCACCAATCAATCCACCCACCCACCCACTAACTCTGATGATGATGGCGGTAATCAACGTTTGCGAGCACAACGCCACCTACCAGTCTATAGTTGTGAACCCAAAATGCGGCCTACGCGTGAAACTCGTGCGCCACGAGGCGCGAACGACTTTACAGGGAATGTTAGCACCCCTACAAGCGGCACGAATAATCCATCAGGTTGAACGTCTGGTCATCCCAAAGCGTTCAAAAGTGTTCACCTCTCAGCGGCAAATTCATGAACGGATCCATTGTTACAGTCAAAGTTAGGTTTCTAACAATAACTCGTCTTACCATCCTCGCTGTTAGCTGTTTTTAACCAACAACACGAATTTCGATGCGAGCTTAAACCAAGCACACATTTCAAACCCTGTTTCTTCATAGTTTGACCTGGACTCCAATGGGACCGGTATTGTTTTCACTGTTCACTATGGCTGCTACGCCTGTGGGTGCATCATCGCTGGAGTCATTTCTCATTTCAAGGCAAGTGAACATATTTCTGCACGATCATTTCTGTCATGCGAACATTTCTGCCGTAGGAATGTACTTGTAAATATTTATATTGCAGTACTGCGGCTGAGAATACGCATTTGGCCATTCTGCTATTCTTTTTGTCCACTTTTCGCAATTATCGCTTTCTTGAAAGCATTACGAGAACCAAAGGCATCAACCTTTTCTTAAGAGGGCTTACTTTCTTTTGCCAATGTAAAGTGTTTCTAAGTTTCACTTCCTAATGTTTACTTCAACGGTTTGATTTATTTGTGTTGATGTGTTTCAGTAATAAAAAGCGAGTATAATAATGAAAGAAATTCTTTTTTTTTTCAAGCTCTATACGTTCGATTTTCTGTATGAGATGTAGTGTGCTCCCCGATAACATCGAATAAAGGAACGTTCATCGGAACGGCATAAACGGTCCGCCACGGTATTCAGCTTGGCTGCTCACCCTAAGGTCGCGCCTTCAATCCCGGCCGCCATGACAGTCACGTTTCTAGGAAGGCGGGATACGTGCCAAATCCTTGTTGGCACAGGCACGTACCTTATATTAATCGGTGCATCCAGTCATGTTCTTCAACACGTTATGTAAGTACAACTTCAGCTTTTTGTTGGCGGTGGTCTTGTTGTGGTGGAGGACTGTGGGATGTCAGTGCACGTTAATGAACACCACGCAGATAATCGAAATTTCCGGAGCCATCCACTACGGCGTCTCTCATATCGAAGTTATGGGGCGCTAAATCCCAAACATTATAAAAGGCATAAGTAATAGCCCTGAATGGTCTTGTAGGCGTTATTAGCAGCGATAGCATCACCCCAATAATAATACTTTTTTCCAGGGTGACGGCTGGGGCATGGTGTTAGGTCAGTGCCTCTGTACCGTTGGATTCCTCGTCATGGCACCGGCTTCATTCATTGCCAGAGAAAGGTTCTATTTCTTTACCCCCTTACGCCTCTTGTGATTGCGCGCATGCGCTGTACATAACTACTTGACTAGCAACGTGTGCTTCTTTATGAAAAAGGTGCAAGTGGTCGTTTCTTAGCATTTGTGTTTCAATTTAGGCGAAGACTAGTAGCTAAATTTTTTTAGCATTTGACCCCTCGTTATTCAAGAAAACGCTGGCTTGAAGAAACGTGACTGCTGCCGAAAGTGGCCTTTGTCCTTGCAGTACAGCGCGTACAAAGGAATGAGCCTATTGCTCAGTCTTGTGAAGATTGGACACGGTGACTGGAGCCATCTACGTTTTCATGCACATTTCTTTTGAAACAATCTAGCCTAATTCTGGGCAATTGCAGGAGTTGGGTACATAAATACAACAGCAAGGAATAACAACAATATCACAACATGTTCTTCACAGTACAAATAACATCCTCTCCTAAGCCCAACTAGGTATAGATTGAGAGCAAAAACATTAAAGTTTGTGTCTGCCTTGTCTCCCCTGTATTCAGTTTCTCGCGTGCTGTATGTGTGTTGAAGGAGGGAAACGTTTAAATACGTGTAGTAATTATAATCATCTGGATGGTTGGTAGACTATTCAAGTTCAAGTCTTACGCTATAATCCAGCTTCGTTCACTGTGTGCCTTGTGCAGGAAACCCTGGAATGTGTATACGTGCCAAATCCTTGTTGGTTTTGGCGCGTCCTTTCTATTCATCTGTGCATTCAGTCATGTCCTTCAACACGTTATGTGAGTAAATCTTCAGCTGCTTGTTGATGGTGGTGGTCATTGTGTTGGCGGTATTGATGTAGTTTGTTGTTGGTGCTCGGTGTTGGTATTGTTCGGTGTTGTTGATTGGGAGCGAACATACATTTTCAGGCGCCGTGGATACCCAAAGAACTTTAGGACCAATAGCTTTGTGTCCAGCTCTGTCTTCTCCTTCCTGGTCATCGGGTTAGTGACAAAGCATTGAACGCCTTTTAACGTGCGAGACACGACTTTAGCTCCGACTATTTTCTTTTTTTTCTTTCATAGAGCCATTGTTACACCACCTGTTGCTGGATACGTCTACGATACTTTTGGTTATCAAAACGCTTGCCTCGCCCTCAGCTGCTTTATGGGAGGATGGGTGAGTATAAGCCGCACCGGCTTCAGCACACCTTGGGTAAATTAAGTGGTCATGTGTGTGTGTTCTGCATTTTTATGCACACCAATACATGACTATACACGAATAAATAAACATGTGAGTAGTAAGTTTACGTTCAATTAACCAAAAGTATCAGGCTATGTGTCTACATTAAAGAATTAGGCTCAGAATAACCGTATGTTGTATTCTTCACTCCCTAACGCATTTTTTAACTCACCTACAGGTTCCCTTCACGGTCGCAGTATGGATTCACACAACCTGTAAAATCTCGCGCACAGGCATTATCACCACCGTTAAATAAAGCTGTAAAAAAGGAACAAGCATTTTCATATGTGTGATTTCAGCCTTCGCGAAAGAAATTACCCCTCAATTCACAGGGTTCCTTACGCATTCGTTTAGGACGACTATCAGACGAAAGCAATCATGTTGTTCTCTTGGAAGGTGGCACTAGTGTGCACGGACTAAATCTACTCAGACCCTACATCTTATTTTATTGAACTGCGCGCAATAGCTGTGAAGAAACAACATCAGCAGACAGCTACGCAGCCAAAATCGCCTGTTGTGAGATCACAGCGGCATCACTGTAACAACCTGTTGAAATCGGGGCGTTATAACGGACTTGCTAATAGAAGTTTTATAAAATTTATTGAATGGAATCAATTTTAGTTCAATCCTACATTCTATGCTGTGACGGGGCAGTGAGAAATGGTATACGCGTAGGGTCCCGAGTAGCACGAACGCTTAGCGATCTTTTATTATCACGCCTAACCAAATCTATAGAGCTACCCAATTTCTAACAACAATCGGTGTACAAGTGTTTAGGATGCGTCAACATCTTCGTGCTATTGTTAAGTTTGAACACGTCCTAGCCTGAATTCGAAGTCTAGAAAGTACTGTCCATCGAAGGAAAATGCCTGTCACTCCTACGAATGCACCACGAATTACCCAGTGACACAAGCATCTGGTTTTAGGCATCACATTTCTTTTTATAGAGGATCATTTGTGTCGGAGCTACAAGCGTTCAGACCCGTAAAACTAACCTAGTAGGCAATCGCAAATTTCAGTTTCGAGGTATCCTCGGAAAGTACTTGTATTCACTTTATGGAGATACGTTTTGAACCAACAATGTACTTGTCTCTCAGATGTCGGATACTGGAAACAGGGTTTTCTTTGTCACCAAAAATCTTCTGTCACCCGTAAATTCTGCAGCTATGTTGTGGACCAAGAAGCTAAAAAAGTGCAAAACGCTATTTATTTTTTATTTTCATAAGGTGTCACGAAAATTAGCGAAGACTGCTGTCTAACGTGCTCAACGTTTCGTGCCCGCGATGAACTGCGAACATTATTCAGACTGAATGGCAGAAAGTGCCGTGAAATAAAAGTATGCAATACGCAGTATCACACCCCGTATACATATGGTGTAAAGAGGGTGCAGATTATAACGTGCTCTTGCCATGAGATCCCTTTTACATAGTGTGCTCATTCATTTGCACTAAGGAGGAGCTGCACGAGCAAGAATGGAATAGGTGACTGATTGCAGGAAATACGACCGAAGGCCCACGTTCAAAAAATGAACATTAATAGAGAGATGCGAGAATGAAACAACGTGTTTGACGGTAGAAGCACCAAATATTTCTAAATTAGAAGTTATATGCATAAATGATCCGTCGTTTGCCATTCCTGTGAAATATCGTTTTTAAGGGACACTATACACACGCGTAAAGATAACTATCGCGACAAGCGTAGCGTGTTGTTAGAGCGTGTATGAAAGGTCGCACAATTCATAAAATGAAATTGTTATAAGCTTCGTAAGCATCACCTTGTTTTTCTTTCGTCCGCGTATATGTCGCGCAACTCTGTGCATTCTGATGGTAAACCAACAGAACCACGTTGCGACCTCTGTGAGTTACGGCAACGCCTGAGTTAGTGTCTTTTTCGGGGTGAATTTCATCAACAGTAACAAAAACGCCACTGCCCTCATAAGCGTGCTCAAAAGTGGGGCGAGGGGAGGGAAGTAGGGGCAGAGCCTGCGTCATACATTTACTCCCTTAGCACCACACAGGCTTTTGATGACAAAGGCGGCCGAATACGACTGATGCAGTAGTCCAAGAGGTATTTACTTCCCATATTTACTTCGGAAAAAACAAGGAATATAGAGGCAGCCCATTGTGAAGAGCACCGCAAATCTCCACAGTTTTATTTCCTTTTTCTTTATTTAATGCATTAAAAAACATATTCTTTTGACTCGACAAAACAAGGGGGGGGGGGGGTGCACAAGGAAACGGGGTAGAAAACCTTCAAAGAGGAAGAGTAGAGAAAGAGTAAGATAGCACATAACACAAACACACACACACACAGAGAGAGAGAGAGAGAGAGAGAGAGAGAGACGCGCGCACGCACGCATGCAGCCAGTGTCACAGTCCATCACTCAGGCGGGTACACGACATCACTGTCACGGCCATTTGTCGACAACAGTCTTTCTCAAGAAGCTCAGTTGTTCCTTGGATCTATTCTTGCAAGTAATCGACACACGATATAGCAGCGGGAAGCCCAAATTTTAGACACCACGAAAACGAGTTGCAGGAGCGACGCTCTTCCTGTTGTCGAACTTTCGTGATCTCTAAAATCCACACTTTTTCTTTCAAGATGCCTTTTTTCAAAATATTTGAAAATAAGACTTCACCTAGAAAGTTGTCGCGTAAAAGCGTTAATATAAAAAATAGGCTTAAAACACTTATAGAGCACTTAAAGGACAAGAACACAAAGGCAAGACGTGGAAGCAGCGTAAACTCCCAACAAATGATTTATTTGCAAAGAAGAACCGGTTTCTATAGTTTACCTGTCCTAATTCGTATAGAAATAATTTATTTGAAGTTAGCGCTGCGTCTAGGTCGTACCTCTGTGTTCCTCTCATTCCTGTGTGCTATAGGTGTCAAGTGAGAAATTATATTTGTCGAAAATTCCTATATTGAAGCTACAGCACTTTTCTTTGCATTTGGAATTTCATATCAAGAGTGACTATGGAAAGCGGTCTTTTCTTTAGTTTGGTTACGAATTTTTTTAATGATACTACTTCACAACTGCAACTCATCTCAACAATACAATGGTGTTGAGAGTTCTCTGAGCCGTCTCTGCAGAGAATGTCGCAACTATGTAACGTTCCCATTATAATAAATCTAAAGCAAACAACAGACAGAGACGCATAAAAAGAAAGGGGTAGGGTGGAGGTCAAGCACACGGGCGTTTGCATTTCCAGGATTCGGGGATACCTGTACGTAGCGGCATCCGTCGGCGGCAGCAACGTGTCCTGCCATAACTTAGTGGGAAACAGGCGAAAAAAAATCCTATCTCAGAAAAAAAACAAGTTATCAAAACCGACTTCTGGTTATGCGAACCAAAGACTTACTGCAGCATTCCGGTAAAACTTCAGTATCGCAATACAAAGCGTATGGCTTGGCAGCGCTACTGAACACTGCCTACGGAAAACACATGTAGTCGCATTGTCAAATAATGAAGACGTTGAGAATCCAAACTGTTTGGAGCACAACACTTTTATTTAGTGTTCCAGTGGGCCTATGCTACATATAACCGGCCGTCAGTCATTTTGACAACTGGTATTTTCGTCACAGAAACGATTTTTTTTTTCGCCTGTTTCCTATTCAGTTGCAGCAGGCCACTGCTGTTACCGACAAGAAACGACGCTATGTGCACACGCCCACAATATCCTGGTAATTGTTTGCTACCCTACATTGGTGCAAAATTGATTTGACTACAAAAGTAAAGGAAAGAGAGAAGAAAGAGTGAAACTCATTCTGAGGTACACGCAAAATTACTACAATCAACACCGCCCTGAGATACATCACAAATTCGGAAGTAAGATCTCTCAAACCCTCGCAAACATTTAAAAGATTCAAACTTACACAGCGAATATGCTCGCTTTAGATAATCTAGCATATTTACCAGATTTTCACCTCCACAATGCCTGTATGTTTTGTGTAGTTCAGAACGCCTAGTTTTTTTGTTGCTATATTTTTTTCTATTTTGGTAATTTCTGCCAAATCTACCGGGAAGTAAAAAAAAACAAAGAAACACCGAGCCTTCGCGGAGCAGGCAGCACAGTCTCAGTGAAAGCTGGGAGAGTGGCTTCGCTAGAGTCTGTTACAAACTCTCTTGAGCAAAGGCATTCTAACATACATATAAGGAAGGAAAATAGGAGGAAAAGAACGGCTGGGAGGTTAACCAGCCTATAGGCCACCGGGGTGCAACATACAAATAAAAGTTATCAGCTGCTTAGAGCGGAGCAGTGTATTATCTCACTTTTCCCGTTCATTTTCTTTTATACTCCTGTAACAGTGGTGTGGGTGTCATTAGTCAAGTCGCAATATCAACGAAGCAAAATAAAAGCAAGCGCCCAAAGAGTATTTGAATTTCTAAAAACGCATTGTGGTGTAAAATAAAAAAAAGTGAAACCGCTAACCGACATAGCAGAGTCTGTTCATTGTTTTTTATACCACGTTTTAGTACATGAACTTTAAGTGAACGTTAGAGAACACCAACTGGTCGAAATCTCTGGAGCCCTGCACTACGGCGTCTCTCATAATCATTTCATGGTTTTGGGACATAAGACCGCAGATATTTAAAAAAAAATGCGGGGACATTGTTGCCCCCAATGGATAATGGCGTCGTTTCACGAAGCGTGAGGCGACCAATGTATATTTAAAAGTCTTCTGCGTTTTTCCACCCCTCATTTGCTCAGGCAATTTCAACCTGTCGAGATGAGGTTACGCTACAAAGGCTTCATGTGGAGGTTACGCTTACCCAATGTGGGGCAAGTCCGGTGCATGATTATCACAGTCTATAAAGTATGTCGTGCCCATTTTGTGATGCCCCAAATGGCAATGTGACAACAAGAGCCTTTCTTTAGACTTGTACCGTCGGCCAAATTTTTAACTATCGTGCATGAGTGGCAGCTTTTCTGTGTATCCTTGCCATACGACTGAATTGATTTTCAGTCGAATTGAGGAAAAGTGTATGCCCACAAAGCACATGACCACGAAGCAATTTTGTGTAACTTCGTTGTTACGGAGCTGGCATACAAAAAAGTGGCCGCTGTGCATAATAGCTAAAGTTTTCGCCGACTGCGCAGGCCTGCAACTAAGCCGTCTCCACACATTTGTGCAACAGGCGTCGGGCCTCACCGACCATCCAACCTCAACGCTTAATTCACGGGCCGTTCCACCACCCACTGTTAAACTTCATACATGAAGTATTCATACACACATTCTGTGCCGCTATACATGAACGAT